GCATGGAAAAGGGGGAGAAAAGGCCCAGGCCAAAGAAAATGAATTAGAGCAGAGATGCTTTGAAAACAACTGCCAGGTCAGATGGGTGTGATCAAAGGTTTACTGATGCTGTGTGGGGGGGAAAATCATTAAGAAAGGCCAGAGCAAGCCAGTCGATTCCAACCAGAGCCACAAATAAAACGCATTCAAAGCAGTGCCATGGGGCAGCCTTTCTGCTACAGCCGGCGAAATAAAAACAAGCTGATGAATGTTGGGAACACCAACAACAGAACAAAAGGAGATACTGACGTGAAGGAAAACAGTGCTTCTTACCCAGTTCAGTTATCATTAGAATGTGCGTCCCACTGTTTTTTTCCTGATTGACTGATACCAAAGGCAACTTGCCAGGCTTAGCTAATTGGATACAGCATTTAAGGGTCGGGGAAAGGGAGTGGAGGAAAGTACAGAAAAAGAAAAGAGTGAGGGAATAAAGGAAACATTCTAAAGTAAAGGGACCCAGGACCTGGACCACAGGTAGTTGGTATTTGTCTTGGGCAGGGGTGGGGGCGGGGGCAGAGGCCACTCAGCAGGGAGTGTCCCGGCCAGGTTAAAAGTTGGAGCCCACTGGTCGACAATCATGGCCCTCAAAACCCCATCACTTTTTGGACCCGAGTGGCATTCACTGAAAATGGCCTTTGTCTGAGAAGTTCACTTAGGATAGATTAAATGCAGCATTATGACACATTAGCCCAATGCTTCTCCTCAGTTCTCTACATGGAGTTGGCTCAGAGCTGAAGCTTCGTGCCTCAGTGGAGGGTTCTGACTATAGGAGCTGTCCAGAGGGGCTTCCGATGGAAATCACCAAGAGTCCATGGACTATGTCTCTCCTTCCTTCCTCCCCCTTCCCTAATTTATGCCCCAGTCTCAAATCCATCATCTCATATTCCTTTGAAAACGGTGACCAGCATGAAGGAAACTGTCTATTCATCTCAGGGGAGAGATAGATCAGTTTTCCCCTTGGCAATCCGATATTTCTAGGCATACTTTCTTCAATCTTCTTCTAAACAAACCCCGCTAGAGTCTGCTATGCTGAAGGAGCTATAAAACAGGCCAACCTCCTCATATTCGACGTGGGTGGAAGAGAGAACCCAGAAGTCTGCCCGCAGCCGATGCTCTTCGCCCCTACCTAGTTCAGTGATGATGGGGATGTTGACCCCCGTCGTGATGGACGGCTGACGTAACATCCCGTGCACTGGGCTGTTGTCTGGCGAGGATCTGTCCATTCCTGGAGGTGTGAACCCTGGTGGGAAGTAAAAAGAGAAGGGAGGAAAATCAGAGATGTGGAAAATGTGGAAATAATGAGAGTTCAGGGTCTATACACAACCTCACCCCCAAAAAAGAGAGCTTATGCATTATTTACAGGTCAACCATGAGCACTCCCAGGATAAACTATGATGAGTTGATTTTTAGAAGAAAGCAGGAGACTATTAGAAATAATTCTTTGATAGTTCCCTAAAACCCAGTCTCTACATTTTTGCTCTTGCTCACAGATTTCTGCTCCCCTCTCCATCTAGGCACACATACCTGAGAGCCTCCTTGAAGTCAGGGATGACCATGCAACATAGGAAATGTTCCGTCCCATGAAAAGTGAACAGAACCGTGCATAGCATCACTTCTGGTACAAGTATTTGGCCCATTGCCTGTCCTCCCAGACCACGGCAGCCGTGGGAAAATGGGTCACTATGCAGCAGAAGGCTGGGGAGCAGCCCGGACAGCAGCCCAGCCCCACAAAGCATTCTGAGTGAGCGAAACAGCACCTGTTGCTTTAAGACACTGAGATTTGGGGTTTGTTGTTGTTGTTTTTACAGTATAACCTATCTTATTATAAACCAACTGATTGCTTCTTCTCCTGCCAGACAGGCTTACTTGGGATTTTGACACAGTTCTGGTCAAGGGGAAGTGGGAGAGAATCTGCTTGGGGGTTTGGGGAGGTGTTTCCTTGCTCTTAAAAACAATCACACAGGAAGAGGGATTCTCTTTTCATCCACTGGACATTGCTTTTGTGCCTGCAGTGCCTGGAACTGTGGCAGCCAACTCATAATGGGACTGGCACCAGCTGAGAACAAAGCCAGCTGAATGATACCGGCTGAACTGAATGAGGGGAAGACGGAATGACAGGAAAAACAGTCCTTGAGATCCTGGATGAACCAGCCCTGGAGCCCAAACCAACGGACCTCTGGATTTCTTCCTACATGAGATTATAAATAAACAATATTTATATATATAAAATTTCTTGTGGAGAAAATCCTGAGGTGGGATGGTCTTATATATATATGTATATGTGTAATACATATATATGTATGTATGTTTGTATATATATGTATGTGTATATATATACAAAATTATATATTTACATATTTTCCCTTTTGCTTAAGCCAAAATTAATTGTGTGGGGTTTTTTTAAAATACTTGCAGCTAAAACCACCCTGATTCATATACCACTTGCTCACACCTTGAACTTCCCAGTATGCCTAGCACCGATCTCATGACGTAGATGTGGGCATAGTGGATTGGAAAGCAGCCTATTTGGTTGATGTTTACAGTCTGGGCTTCTTTGGGTCTCAGACCCAAATCCCAAGTACATATTAGAATGAGCTTGACCCAGCCTTAACTTCAAGATTAGTGAGGGTGAGAAACCATCCAGCTAGACTAAATGGCTGCCTCTTTATGGATGTGCATCGAGACATCTAAACACGAGGCATTAATTTACCTCATGCATCCATACCGTGAAAATTCATTTAACCAAGTGAAGCGCGTGGCAAGTGGTCCACCAGCGCTGTGCTGGCTGCGAGGCCCAAGGTGCTCCTCTACCTTAGAGGACAGGCAGACACATTCGCTTTGGTTTCTCTCTTTGCCCTGCATGTACCGCTACGTGGGCTTTTCAATAAGTTATGGACTTGTAGATGCAAAGTCACGTGCTGAGTTTCCAAGGACAAAATTCCAAGTAGACCATGTGACCGGTTTCCTCATTTACTCTCCAGGAATGTCACAAGGTGGGGTTGACTCTGGCACAATGGTGTGAGTGAAGCTTTCTCAGGAGGGATATGACAGGTGCTCAATAATTGCCTGTTGTTTCGGAGGTGCATCATGCACGAAATGCCAGAAAAAGATAAAAGTGTTTGCCTATTTTCTGCTCTTCTGTGTATAAATTTCATACTATTGAGTACCATACTTTCAGAAAGAAAAAAAATTGTATTTACTTTTCATTCCCTGATTGCACTTAATTTTCTTCTTTATATTGGCATACTGTGCAGGGGGTAATTGTCAATGACAGCGTAGTGTCCATCTTTCTAAACTTCGGAACATGTGTGTTGCAGCCAACCACACAACCAAGAGCAGGCATGTTGACTGCTAGCTGTTTTCTTTCCCTAGAATAGTGAAGGGGAAACTAAACTGTTTTCATCAGAAGTTTCATTCAAAAGGGTGAAAAACTGCAAGTGACAGCTGCGCAGATTCAGTGGATGTGACGTTTTTGAATTTCTCCAACTTGACAAGTAAACACCTTAAATCGGTAATGCTATATGCATAATACATGGGCTGTATTTTGACATCCATCATCAAATGCTGACTTGAGAAAATACTGGTTTGTACGTCAAGGAATTGCACCATAAAACAGGCAGAAATGCAGGTCCCACGGTATTAGGAAAACTGTATTTCATTACAGAACCTGCAACCAGCCAAAGTGTCCTTTTATTTCATCTTATTTAAAAATTCCATTTTCAGCCGTGAAAAGACTCGATTCCTTTGCATGAAACCTTCATTTAGAAGTGACATGCTTGCTTCGAGGGCCTCTTTCATTTTGCTTACATACCCCATTTTCCCCTTCAGCCACCAAGCCCGGTGCCATTAGCATCTGCAAACTGACAAACTATGGTGGGTGTCCACAGATGTCTCTCCATTAAAGGTCCTTCTCTCCTACGTGGGACCCCAGGAACAGGGTGCTTTTGTTGGCAAGAAAACTTCAGCAATTATTACGTCTCTTTCTCTTTTGATACTTTTCTAGTCACACATTTTTTAAAAGCAAAAAGAAAGACTAAAGAGATAGGCTGTCTTTTTCCGCCCCGGTGCAGGGTTGTGTTAAAGACGAACAGAACTTATTAGCATTGTTCCTTTCACAGAGGTCCTAACATGGGAAACTGTGGTTGGAAATGGCAGGGCCTGCCCAGATGCCTTAAGGGAGCTCGGAGAGGAGAATCCAGGCGCCTTCCATCTGAAGGGATGAGGCAATCCCACCTCCGATGCCATTTGATGTCATCTACCCCGTTCATCACAGCAGTGGCTGATAAAGGGACAGGTCTCACTTGTGTCCAGGTCTCTGAATGTTCTCCCCACCCCACTACTGTTAGCTGCAGTGGACACATATTTGGTTGAACTTTAATTCTCTCTCCATGAAAGCACAGGCACACAGAACACACTACAGGGATGCTAACCTACAACTACAGAATAGTGAAGCTGGGAAATGCTCCCTTCATTAGTGAAACGAACACTTGGGAAATTAATTTGAGAAACAACCACTTATTTTTACCAAAATAGATCAGTAAAAAATGCTGACATTAGAGAGATGAAGTGAAAAGCTCTCAATCAGGGAGAGACTCAAGTTCAATGATCTACAGCCCAGGCTCTCATTGAGATGATCTCCAGATTCTTTAGGTATGTCTTTGCTCCCTCTTGGGCAAGCTTTGGGCCAAACATGACTTCCGAAATGACCTGATCTCCTTAAATTGAAAGTCCCTCCCCATTCTGGTCCTCAGGGGCAGATGTGACAAGCTTCTGTTATCTGTTCTATTCCTTCAGCATCAGGCATAAATGGGCCCAAGATGGCCCCTTGCCAAACATGGTCACTCCATTCGTTGTATGAGAACTTCAGGCCAAGGACTGGGCCTTCTATCTCTTTAAACTTCCCAGATTGTCTACAGAATGCCTGGCCCATAGAGAAGAAACAGAGGGGAAACTTACAGTCAGATGTCTTGGGTTCAAACTCCGGCTCATCCACTATTAGCCACATAGCTGTGAGCATAGCACAGACTTTCTCTGGCCCCTGATTCTTTATCTGTAAACTGAAAGTATCTTCTACATAAAGTAGTTGTGAAGATAACATCAGAGTGTATTCAAAACATTTAGTCCAATGCCTGGTATAAAGCAAGTACTCAAAAATGTTGACTACTGATGTTGATATTTTACTGGGTATACAATACAATAAATATTTGTGGATAGGTACAGCATCCATCACCACCTTTTCTCTACAGATAAAGAACTGGGGCAGCTTTTGGTACATTTTTTCATAAGAAATTTTCACATAAAGAAAATCTTGGAAAATTAATGGAAAGGCAATGAGCAATGTGGATATATTTTGGTACAAATCGTCAAATAAATCCAGTGATAAAAGCACAGCCCAAAATATGTAAGAAAGGAAGATTTCTGATACGGGGATAGCTAGGATTTTCTTTAGGTATGTTGAAAAACTGCTGGCCAGTCTTCATGTATAAAAGGTTCTTAATTCCTTATAGCAGCTGCAGAACTCTGTGGAGTCTTCTATCTGAGACCTAATCTCCCACTTCCCCTTCTCATGACTCGGGTTATTCCAGGAGCTAGAGGCACTCAGCCTCTGGCAGGGGAATTACTGGAAGGTTAAGTGACCTTCAGTTAAATTAGACAAGGAAGTTTTAGGGTGGCTTTGAATTCAAGAGTTTAATACAAACACTTGACTTGTTCCTAAGAAATGCAAAGAAGAGACACTGGAATGCCAAGGAGATCATCAAGGCTTCATTGTGTTACTAACTGTTTGGGCACCTGCTACACGCATGCACACAAGCACAGCATCTATGAGGCACCGTGGGGTTGCAAGCAAAAAAAAAGACAAGGGTCCAGGGTAATGCAGCTGTGAGTGCCCTAGAAAATGAGAAAGACTCGATGTCTTGGAAAGGCAAGAATCTTCTAGGTCTAGACTAAGATAACTAAGAATAGAGAAGGTGGGCTTAAATAGAGAGTCAAGGAAAAAAAAAAAGCCAACATTAGTTGCATGATTACTATGTACTAAATTCTGCTCATATAATAACTTTAGTTCTCAAAATCATCCTATGTAGATAATACCACTGTATAGATGAGGAAACTGAAGCACAGAGAAGATAAGCAATTTGCTCCAGGGCGCACACTAGGGCTTAGCAGATCTCAGATTTAAACCCAGGTAAATTGGCTTCAGGCTCTCCTCTAAACCACCACACCAATATTCCTTCTTATTAA